TTTTCGTGTATATCAGAGAGCAGTAAAAAATTGGTACTAGTCTCATTTCCGGGCCTCGGTGTATTTTCGAAAATTTCAAAAATAAACATTTCAAAACTACAAAGCTGATAAAGATTTTTGGCTTACACAAAATGTGTTGTTAGAAAGCCAGTTATTTAAAGAGAATAGAGTAATTTTTATGCGAATAGTTTTTCTGTAATTACTGCTTAAAATTAATGCAATTTGTGAAAAAACATTTTCTCAAAATTGTGTCCAGAGATAAAACACGAGTTGCTTAAAGGAATGGCGCAGGTCTCATTTTCGTTGCACTCTCCGAATTTTTGAAAATTACAAATTTAGAAATAACACGAGAAAGCTTTTGCTGTTTTATCACTTCTAATTACATTTTTTTAAGAATCATTATTTAATATTAAAAATCAAAACTACCCGTCTTGAGCGTTGTAGGCAGCAACTGGGAATCGGTTCTAATGTTTAGAGGCAACCCTTACCTTAGAGCAAGCACCTTCGTGCTTCACGATTAATAATATTATTGTTTGATAATTGCACTGTTAAGTCCATTTGTCGTTAAAAAAATGAACGTGTATTCTCTAATCGTAACTGTTAGATCTGCCATTTAGTTTCGTACATATGATACATACTACTCATAACTTTCTTTTTATTTATAAAAATAACAACATCCACATTCATACATACACTCACAACTTCACATTTGATTACGCGAGAGAATTAAACACAAGTTCAATATTTTCCGTTGGTTGCAGCAAGAAGGTCTTCGGGCTGAACTTGATTTCTTGCGGTGTTCTGTCACACAGATCAACAGAATACTTCATTAGCAAGTGAGCAACTGCAGATTTCACTTGCATCAAGGCAAAACGCATCCCTGAAAAAAAATGGTTTTCGATCAATACAGTACAAAGCGACTCCATAGGAAATGAAAAACAGTGAGGATGGAAACATGAAATATGGAAGAAATGATTATTCTTTGCAAACTCACCGACACAGTTTCTCGGTCCTTCACCGAATGGCATATATGTGTAATTGATAATATTCTTCTTGTTCTCTTCGGAGAATCTTTCTGGATCAAACTTTTTGGGATTGGGATGATATTCTGGGTCCATTTGCAACGCGTGGAGTGGCACCATTATGCGAGACCCCGCTTCCAACGTAACATCTGTACCAGGCAGAGTGTACGCTTTGCTACACTTCCTGTCGAGGAACGGAAGTGGAGGATATTTACGCAATGTCTCTGAAATATAAAAATAATCATAGTGGTCGTTTATTTAAAAATGTATTGCAGGCACGAGTTTTTTTCTAGAAATAGAATAAAAGATAATTGGTAATGTCCTTGGAATTTTCAAGTTTTTTCCAAGGATAAGTGAACAAATTGATTTTCATCATCGTATGAATTGCAATAGAATTTTCATTTCAGGAACAAAAAATGAATTAGTTTTTATTTCTGGGAAATATGTAAATCGTATAAGTAGTTAAATACTTGTGCAGTTCTATCCATTGAAATACTGTCTTGGAAAAATGTATGTGTTACTTTTTGTGTTAATTCCTTAACATACTTCGTTTGCACACGCACTGAAGGTACGGGTTGTAGTTTTCTCGTTCTGAATAACATTAAAAATATATATTTTCCCATGTGGATTGATTATTTAATTGGGGAGCATCAACAGCTGTGATCATGTCTCGTAAGCGTAGTGCATGTTGCCCGCTAAGATGTGACAGTGATCAATGGCTCGTGAGCTTCTCGCTGGGTCGCCGGTTTGTCCTGCAAGAATCTTATCGGCAGGGCAATGTCTGACCTGAGTCAAGGCCTACGTTCACAGCTGATTTCACAATATTTCTTTTAGTGGAGAATATATCTAATCCTAGATTTTCGTTGTTAGTTGTGTTTACGTTATTATGTTTTGCATGTGTACTAATTTTTTGAATGTTTTGTGACGATATCTTTTTTATTTAACTGCTGAAGTAAAGACGTATTACATACCATGCAACACCATGTCGAGGTATTTTAACTCATGGAGCGTTTCATAGGAAAATTTTCCATCTCTTGCGGCTTCCTGAAGCTCCTTGCGTAGTTTGTCTTGTACGTCCTTGTTTTTGGCAATCTCGAAGAGTGCGTAGCTGATTGTAGTGGCTGAAGTCTCAAAGCCCGCTGTCAAAAACGCGAACGACTGGCCGCATACGTCTTCTTCATCAAAAACTGTGAAAGATTATGGATTTAAAAGTTGAATTCTCTGAGTATTGAAACTCGACACTACTGCAATTATTGAATGTACTTACTTAGTTTTTCAGGCAACTTGGCACCAATTTTCTCTTCAGAAACATTTCCAGATTTCATGATTTCAATCAGGCTGTCCAGTAAATCGTTACGTTGAATACTTTGATTCTCTCTCTCCTTAATGGTATTTTGAATTGTACTTCTTACGAAGTTTTGCACTTCTTTATTTATAACAGTTATTCGAAATAACTTGGTCAATTTAGGGGCCAAGAAAGCAACAGCTACACATAGGGCTTCTACAGGAGAAAATTCGAATAGTCTTCGCAGCATGCGGCGAAAGTGTGCCTTTGGATCTGCCAAAGTGTTGCCTTGAATCCCAAAAGCGCACGACGCAATGATATCTGTTGTGTAGCGAGCTGCCACTTCATACACTGGAACTGGATTTCCTGAAAATTACACGAAACCATTTTAAAAAATGCACTAGGGACAAAAAAATAAGGTTTTTTCATACATCTAGGATGAAAGTAGATGATTTCAAAGAAAACGATCATGCTGTTTTCAAAAATTATTATAAAAAGTTTGTCATGCAAGGTTAAAGAGATATGAACACAATTAGTATTTGAAATAAACAAAATACTATACTAATTTCCAGATTGTCACTGTGGTTATATCACTACAAAATTTTACGAGCATGCTTCATAAGAGGTAAGAACATGTTAAAAATGGAATACGCATATTCCTGCAAAATTATGCAGACATCAAAATGGTTTGTTGCTATATTCTCCACAAACTTGGTTGAGCGAATGACAATGCTTTGAGTTTTCCATACAACCACAACCTAAGGTTCATTCTACGAGTAATACAACAATGGTAAGCAGCCTATGGTTTGTCCTGATCCCAAACATGACAGGCAAAGTATAAAGAATACACAAGTTTTGTAATTTCACATATTTTTTCCCCTTTGAAGTTTGGGTGTAAATCTTCCACAAACGTAACTGAAGTTATCGGGCTGATTGGCATACTTTTGATGTGAAATGACGATTTGCGTTTTATTGAACCTATACGATTATACAGATCATGAGGTGAATTTCAGTTTGTAGAAAACACAGAACTGTAATGCATTAATATATTTGAGGAACACGCAAATCAGGCACGAACGTCACGCGCTCTGTTGGTACAGTTCCGCATGACAGTGACTGACTCAGAATCTGCCACCCCAACGAGTGGATACTTGTGTACTTGCAATAAGTTAAGAGACTAAAATAATAATTCCTTTCGGTGACGTGCAGTAGGAAACAAGAGGGTGCATGTGACTTGTTTTCAAAGCATCCACTAAGACCTACGAAGACCACTAAGACCACTAAGACCTACTCATAATTCAGCGCGACTTCCAAACGCGAGAATAAAGATGGCAATCTTCCAATACAGAAGGTAAAAAACCACAAAAGCCTCATTTTGTTGATACCTCATGAAAGTAGCACAGATGAACGGAAGAAATATTTTATTTTTTAATGGATTATATGCGTATTGATTCTACATTTCTTATTGGTGCAATTTAAATGTATTTGCATTAATAGCAAATATAAGCGGTATATTTAAAACTTTTGACGTGATATGATGTTTTTATTGTGATTTTCGTAAGCTACGTATAAAATTGAGTATGTTACGCGCTTCACCTTCCTGGAGGTAAAACTCTTGTTCCCTAGTGTTATTTGATGTTTCCCTCTTACACATATTCAATGCATAGTAGAACAGTTTCAACATATAAAAAATTAAATTTTCTCCAGGACTCACTAACCTGAAAGCCAAATATATTGAGTTTCATCTTTAAATTGATCCTATTTACGCATTTATAATTTGTTCCGTTTAGAAATTAAAAACTATTTATTTTCTAATTTGTGTTTCATCCAGTTAATACAATGAAAAAGAACATTTTATTAATGATATATCAGAGAAATTGAGGAGACGATTGATTATTAAATTTCTTACGAATCTACTGAATCCAATGACCTCGTTTTGGCCACCATATTGCGACCTACCTCAGAGCAAAATTCCAAAACGTTGGCACATGTGCCAAGGACGCGGCGTCTCCCGAACTACCTAGTAGCTGCTGACTCCGGCTGCGGAAGCTACGCTCTCTTTTTTAGGGTAACATTGAGGTATTAAGCAAGGTGAATTCGATCAATTCTGACTCCTATATTACCCAAGGGGAAGATTAAGCAGTTATTTCCACTACTTGCGAATTTGAAAGAAAGAAAAAAAAGGAGTAGAAGGGCGAATTTTAAATGTTTGAGCTACTCAAATGCATTGGACTACTAGGACATTGTCTAATCATAAAATGAATAGCGTTTATTAAGATTTACTGACCGATCAATTTCTCTTTTTCTAAGGCGAATATCAAAAGCTTTCCGCATTCAGCTACGAGTTCATACATCCGCTTCATTTTGCCCGAAGTGAAACTGGGAGTGATAGCGTTCCGTGAGTGCTTCCACCGCTCTCCCTTTTGGCCGAAAAGCCCTCGAGCTGGAAGCGGGTCCAGTTCTTCGTCAGCTTCAACACTCCTGTCGGGGAAGTACTGAAAGTCCTTGACCAGCACGGCTTTCACGAGGTCCAAAGTCGTGGACTTGAGCAGCTGGTTTCATCGAAGCGCGTATATGCGCATGAACGCGTTTTCTTGTGCTGCTCGTAGATTGCAGAAGCCGACCATGCCGTGTTCTTCTTCATGAAGGGCGACATCTTTGAGGTTTCCCACGAAAGGGAAGGGGTTCTGAGCTCCTGATGCCTTTTTCTTCCAGTGGGCCAAAGTTACGCGTGACGTGAAAGTAGGCGGCAACAAATTGCGACGGCCTAAAAGCAGAATGTACGATGCCAAGCCCATGTTTGTATTCCTGAAATAAGAGCATTGTGATATAGAATGATGAATTACAAGAGAGAAAAAAATATGACTGACCGTAATGTGGTGTGAAAAGATTGGAGTGGCCGATTTCGGACAAATTTTACGGGTTATGAAACAGAAACTGTTTCTTTTTCTCAAAATTATTTTTGTTGAATTCCTACTATTTCATGCCATGCAAAATCTATCTTGATTAGTATATGGACTGGAAACTTTGCAACAATAGAAGTTCCTCAGAAATTTCTTTTTTTTTTTTACCACGAAACTTTGACAAAACTATTTCCGTGTGAAGTAATAACTAAACATTTATTTTACATTTTAATACTTTCATAAAGAATACACATTAAAATATCATCAATTTATAGAACTAAAATTATCAAAAGTTACAAAATACTCATCAAATGATAAATTAAAAAACACAGTAAAACGTGCAAATAACAATCAATAAACCAACGATAAGTTTTATAATTATTACAATATAAGTACAATGCAAATATATGCAACGTAATTAAAAATAAATATGACAATAAATAAATATTGAGTGAAGTTGTTTAAATATTAATTTAATAGACTGGACTAATTAATCTTACATATTAAAATATGATTTTAAAATTATATTCTGGTAAAAAGGTTTTTATATTTTAAACAATTATTTCAATGTTAATAATTTCATGAAATAGTTGTTTAATTAACATATTTAATTTCGTACAAACCGGATTTTAATCAACATAACACGTGTTCTTGTAATGAGTGACAGCCGAGTATCGTCGCTGGCCCCTAGGTACACGGATCTCTAGCGATGGGGAAACAATTCAATAGAGGAGGTCAATAGGCGGCATTGTGGCAATTACTGAAATATATGAGCAAGTGGAATCGCGTCCCTAGTTGGCATCACTGGCAGATTTTCCAAGGAGATTTTCTGATTAATTTTATTTATTTATTTGCAGCATAAAGGGGGAAAACATACAAAAACCGGACGTAAGGGGAGAAGTAATATCTGCGCACGCCTTCTTGAGTTTCAGAATTCCTAGCCCTCTCATTATACTAACAGTGTTAAAATAAGAATAAGGGTGCCCACGAGTGTGGTTGCAAATACTTGAAAACTAATATCCTTTGTACCTATGCAATAGAAAACACTTTCCAGGAACAAAAACCAAGAAATTAAGAGCAGAATATTCCTTAATGTTAAGGAAAAATATTCAAGTTACGTTAGCCAAGTGTGTGTGTGTGTGTGTGTGTGTTATATATATATAATATTATTTTTTCAATTATATTAAGATAAAATTTTGTTCTAGTTGGTTTATTAAGAAATTCCTCCTCTAGCTACAACTCCGTTGCCTGCTAGGCTTTAACGATGAACTTCAAATGTTTCTTTATAAATAAAATCCGAGTAAAAATTATGAAAAAAGACGTTTTAGAATATAGCAATTGATTGAAATCAAAGAATGTCTCAATTGATTGAAAGTACTGGAATAATACATAAAATTCCACAAAACAAAATACGTGAGTACAAGTATTTTATTTTTTAAAGTAAATTTATTTTTAGTTAGAAAGTGAGGAGGTTTGGGACGGAAACTTTCAATAATAAAAAAAAAAAATTCTTAATGAGAAAGTGAGTGCATGATGAAGACAGGATATTTCGAGGTGGGAGCAAGACAGAGAGTCAGGAAGGAACGGGGACACTATAGAATAGAAATAGGCTCGGCCGCAGGGCGAGAATAGATGGAATTCCCCTTCCTGTCGACAAAAAATACTATGATAAATACCCGGGCAACGCTGGGTACTTCAGCTAGTGTACATGTTTTTCGATACAGTCTAGCTTTCGAGTCTGTATCGAAATAAATAGAATTCAATATCAGAGTGGAAAAAGGGTAGTTTTCCATGCAAGAACAACTTTTAACGTGGGTTTCGCTGTGCCACAAACTCCATAAACGTCCCATTTTGGCCTTTTTCGCGACTAGAAAATAATCAATAGATATTGTTTATTGGTATTTTAAAAAATATTTTGGTTTTAGGTTGTGCCCAAGTTACCTCGCAACAATTGTATCATCATCAAATCTTACTTATTTGACTCAAACAATGGGCCACATTGGTTCGAAAATTACCTATTTTACGTTAAAACAGAAATAAACTCTTTTCAAATAGTAATAGCTTCGTACATTTTTATCTAAAGTATTTTTAATTTAAATAAGATTAAAGCTCGAAATCTCTTCTTTAAAAATCTTACCTAATATCATATAATTTACTCTGCAATCGGTTAAAATTGCGTCACGCGCAATCATTGTTAACCCACATTTAAGTCGCACTGTTAACCTACATTTCAATCGCACTGCTGTGCCTGATTTCTTTATTCACTGTTAGGCTGCATTGAACATATTTGCGGAGACATCAAATGGTTTTGGAAGTTACTAGGCTTTGAAGAACACTTTATGGCATTTGGTAGTTCTTGAGCTATTTTCCCCTCTTTGTGTTGGTGCATGCAACAGTGTCCATGTCATAGCGTCCGCCGACCTAAGTCACATTCAGCCGCTGTCTGGAGGAGAATTCTAGCAGCCCGCTGCTCTGATAAGTAGTTTACCGTGGTTTCTCCGATCAACACCTGGCGAATGCCGGAGAAATATCTCAACAAACGGATTACGGACCACGCGCGATCTTTCCTTCCTGTTCCTTGTCCTCTCCTCACCCCCTTACGTAGACACACACACACACACACACACACACTTGTGCATGTACTACACTACCATACATGCCAGGAGACACCTTGGGAGCTTAGAGCTCGTCCTGGCTGGTGCGGAGGGTCCCCTGGTGGGAGATACCTGTTTGGGGTAAACACGATATGCCGACAACTAGCTGGGTGTCGCTTCTCGCCATACAGCGGGAGTTCACCTCCACCTCCCACGATTACTAATGACCTTAGCAGTTGACGGAAACGCATGTCAATGAATCATGTAGATTGTCCGGATTTTACTCTCTCACTGGGTTGCACACTTTGAAGCATTGAAAGTGACATATTTACATATTTCTAACGTAAAAAGTCGACGATAGTTTTTATGACGGAAACGACCTCTAAACCTAGGCGATCAGAAACAGAAGAGCATTTGACTCTTGACTGAGGTCAGTTGATGACTAAGACTTTTTTTTAATTGCGCGTCTCGCGGTGTATTGACAAGAGCCCGCTGTAAAAGCAATTACCGAGAGCGTTCACCCGAGCGCCACCTGCCTGAGTCAGCGGCGACCACTTTCCTAAGAGCAGCCGACGGTGAACCCCCATCTTCCGCACGTGCGCGGGAGCCCTGCCCCTAAGCGGAAGGGAAGAAAAGGACTTTTCTCCGAATAAGGGCATCAACTGATGTCACCGCAGTCCCTCTGGCCGGGAAGTCCTAGGTTCGAGTCCCGACGGTGACAGGATTTTCGACACTAGCTTGTCAGCTAGGTCGAATTCAGTCGCTGTCTGGAGGAGAATTCTAGCAGCCGGCTGCTTTGATCGGTAGTTTACCGTGGTTTCCTTGATTAACACCAGGCGAATGCCGGAGCAGAACCCTAACAAACGGGCCACGGACCGCGCGCTATCTCACCTCCCTCTTCCTTGTCCTATACTCACACTTGCATTACCACGCACAACACTACCACACATGGCGGGAGACCCGTCAGGAGCTAAGAGCTTGTCCCGGCTGCGGCAGTGCCCCCTCTGGTGGGAGATACCTGGTATGGGGGAAACCACTAGTCGACGGTAGGTCGGAGGTCGCTGGGCAGGGGGGTAGAGGAAAAACATGCATTACACTTACGAAACTAATGACCCTGGTAGTTGACGCGTCCGGTATCACTAAAACAATCAACCGGATTGGCATCACCAATCAACAGAGGCAACTATTTCAAGAACAGAATGTAAAGAAGGCCGCGCTTTGATACGAACAATTGCTAATTAGTGCCAAATGATAAATGTTTACTTGCAAAGGACCGCCGTCTCCCACTTAAAGTGTTTCTCTTCTCGCTACGAACTGTATGAACGCTGACTTGAGTTTGATTGAATTCCGAACTTTTAGCATAATGAACTACATATTGCTCTCAATTCATTTATTTGTGAATTCCATTTCAGTTTTGACTGGACTGAGATTCCAAAATATTTTGAGAGAACTTTTGATCTTTAATATCGCTTAGAATGTTTGTTGTTTGAAGAAGCAAAAATACATTGAAACTATATTTCTTTGATAAGAATTAATTTTTGTACAAAATTTATTCCGTGCAACTGATATTACTTTTGGCATTTTTACAAGTTTACAAACACATTCGCAAGGAGAAGTAAGTTTTCGTTTCTAGGGGAGAGGTATATTGCTTTTATGCAACCCTTCTGAATAGAAACGTATCAAAATTCAAATCCAACAATAACAACGACAACAACAATAACAACGAGAACTATAAAAACAATAAAAGCCTTTGCAGAAACTCACCGCTCTGCTGATTCCAGAAGACTAAACTCGGAACCTGTGTTGCAATCTTATATAATGAAGTGAGACTGACCTTGGAAACATCTCGTCATCTCCCGTGATGAAGCAAAATCTTTCAAACGATGTTTTATTTTGAAATGGAATGCGTCGTGTACTTATTTCCTGTCGACGGATTACACATGATCGATATCACGCTCTTTGCCGCATTTGGAGGAGGTAAACTAACGGGATATAATTATCAACTGCAGCACTATCTGACTCTTAAACTGTTGATTGCGCACTGAAGATGAAGATATTTTCTTCACACGTTTTCAAGAGCAATTAAAACTTTTTCATGCTTATATCATCGTGATACTACTGTCTTGTTCTTATCATTAACACTAGTCATCTTGCATCGACATTATTTCAGAAATTTGAACTCGAGTACACTGGTGTGCTTGTTGTTTTGAACTGCTTCTCTGTCGTTGGTGACATGGGAAAGTAGTTGCCGGGATCAAATCCCTTCTTGAAAAGT